CTGATTTCAACATATTCAGTTTCCCTGAAATCTGCAGAGTAAAAACTGCAATGACCTATTTGCTTCTGAAGAATAAATGTAATACCTTTTTACTTGGGGCATGCAGTGTGAATTAAGAGCGTAGGCTTCTGCTGCTAGTAGCTACTTCACTGTCCGGAAGATGCCACGTCCTAGGCAGTGATGCCAACGTTTCGGTCGCTATTTTGTGATCTTCTTCAAGGCGAAATGCGGCGTCTCCAGGGCAACCAAGTGGCTACTGCGGTGTGAATTGGCCGGCGTAAAAAATAGCTGAATGTCTTACTTACGTGCGCAGATCGAGCGGCGCTGCAGTTCGCCAACGACTTCTGGCCCGTTATCTACGAAGAGCTGCTGCCGTTCGCCAACGAGGCGTGGGACAAGGTGATGCGCGGCAGCGCCAACAAGGTCTTCCTCAAGTTTCCCTTCGATACGCTGTTTCCCGCCGCGTAGGCCGTCATCGTGGTGTCCGAGCCCCCGCCAGCAGCGCCACGCTCGGCGTGCGGCGTCACGAGGACCGCCAGCGACCAACACGGACGGTGCAGTGCAAGTGACTCCCATTGGCCACCACTGCTTCTCAGAGGGACAAGTGACCGTAGTGCATTGTTTCAGGCGTGGAGCACTGAGGCGCTGGACTCCACCGTCATTGCGAGAGATATGGTCCGTGTATTGCGTACAAACAACCACTTAGCTTTAAAGTGCATTGCCAGAAAGTCCAAGGACTTTCAATATCAGACGTGTTGCTTTGGGAGATTTAAAAACATTAAAAGGCTGTTTTTCCCAAATTAATCTGGAGACGATTTATCATCAAACCTAAAATGGAAATAAATGATTGAAATAATGTTTATTGAAATGTAAAAGAAAAAAACATCTATATTCATAAAATAATTTTGGAAGGAACTATTCATTACAGACAATTTTAAAATGTCTCAATTATAAGAAAGTGATAATGGTCATGGTCGTGTCAATACGACTCACATTTTCTGTGGAAAACAAACAACTGTTTAACAGAAGACACTTTTACTCACAACATAGAGTATCCCAGACATTACTGTTTTTGAGACTAAATGTTTTGACAAGTATTTAAGTTTTATTAATTTTTACATATGCTAAATCGGACGACTTGCCAATCATATCTGATTCATCATGAACATTCATAGGTGCTATTTAAATGCAGTGCATTTGTTATTTTGATATGCATGTTGTGAATAAAGAAATGTATACGTATCAATAAAAACGCAGAAAAAACATGTCATAAAATTGTATCAATTTTGCAAATAAATTACTTTACAATTGGATGCAATGTAATTTTCTATTTTTATAAAGGAAAATAAGCCAGAAGGAAAATATAAACGAAAACGTTATCAACTACAGGTCAGTGATTTACGCATTAATTTTTAATTAGGGTGGTAAGAAAATGTAGACATTTGCTA